CCCCCCCCCCCCATCACATGGCGGAAATGGGCTTCCACTTCTGACAATGTTTAACATTTTTATTTTGAAAGTTATTGCTAATTTCCGGTGTTTTCGTACCTACAGCACGCTGGCTCACACACGTCTCAGGTCCTAGCAAATCCATAGAGTGATAATAACATAAACGACGACGTTAAACTCTTAAAGTGAAGGCAATATTATCATTAACTCTTCAGGTATTCGCAGAAACCTGACTTCATCTCATGCAGGAAGGTAGGTTTGATTATTCCACCTTTTAATATTTTTAAACTCTCACATTAGATCATTGGCTGCGCGTGGCGGGGCTCACTGCGACGTTATCTTATTCTAAAATGAAGCCACCGGGTGAAAACACCGGGACAAAATGAGTGTGTGTAGACGGGGCTGCCGGGCCAAATATTGGGTGTGATTTCTGCACATTTTCTCGGTAGCGTGTGTGAGCTCTTCGCTCTTGATATTGGCCACAGGCTGCTTCCTATCTGCGCTCCCTCTGCAGCCTTCCAGGACCAACCTGCGAACCACTGAAGCCGACAAGTTTGGAGAAAAATGTTGGGACTTTAATCAATCTGCAGAGCCGAGATGGAGCCCGCCTCACTCACGGTAGGATCGTAATATTAGTATTTTATTAAATGCTGTTTTATGTTGATCCGCCATCCGCTCTACAGGCTGGTTAATGTGCGACAGAATGCAGCGTTAGGGGGAATGTATGAATGATTTGTGACGATGCTCATTAAGTGAAAGCTTGGGAAACTAATGTTGTGCTCTGTGTCTGAAGCGTTGCTGTAGCTCAGTAATTCCCTCTACCATGTGGCTGTTTCCCGCAGTGGGTAGGCTCACCTTGCGGTTTACACGGACCGTACACATTCTACAAGGCTTTTCGCTTTAACCTTGGCTGTGAGAAACGGCTGCTGTCGCTGGGAGACTTCTTCGTGGTGCGCTGTGAGCCGGGAGAGCCGCTGTGCATCGCCGAGCTGCAGCTGCTGTGGGAGGAGAGGACCAATCACCAACTCCTGTCCAGCTCCAAACTTTATTTTCTCCCAGAGGACACCCCGCAGGGGCGGAGTGCCAGCCACGGCGAGGTAGTTAAACCATCACGGTTCATTTATGTTCATTTATGTTCTACTGTAATTGTCGCAGTTGATCTGCCCGGACCTTTTTAAGTAACACGAGCCAACGTTTGCCGGCATCACAAGCAGCACGAATGTTTTAGGATTGAATTGAAGTTTGCTGGCATGTGAGTGGAGCTGTACACACACTGACACTGGAGCCTTTGTAAAGCACTAACGCTGCCACATTCGGCACACATTCAGTGAACCAGACAGCCATAACCTTACGTAAAATCCCCACTTTTACTACGTGTTTTTGTCATGATTAAGATTCACCATGCTGCATTTTGCGGTTATTAAGGTTCATAAGCTCGGTGTAATTAAAAAGCTCTCACTTTATGTTCTGAAGTATTTGGTGTGTAGCTTTACTGATAACCATTGCTTAAAAATATCTGAATTGAGTTTGCTCCATTTACCTTACTAACTACTACTAGCAAAGCCTTAAAATGTCCGATTTTTTAAACTGAGTTTGGGCTGACCACGTAACCTAACAACATAAAAATATTATTAATATTATACAGCTAGCTATTTATGGTACATGCTATCATTAAGCTTAGACTGTTTTTAAAAGGGTCTTAACTTACGTTCCACTGAAGTATTTGTTGTATAACGTGGCTGTTAATCATTGCTTAAAAATGTCCTAATTTTCAACTGACTTTGGTCCATTTACCTTACTACTAAGAAAACCTTAAAATGTCAGATTTTTCAACTGAGTTTGGTCTGTTTACATAACCTGCCCACATTAGAAATAGCTGTAGAGCTGTTACTGTAGCTGCACAGCTGGCTGTTGTATGATACATGCTAACATTTGAGAACCCTGATGTTCTCTTTTGTTCCTGAGGCTCATGTTTTGAGATCATGAGGCCAAATTCCTCCCAGCAGAACCACACCCATTTCCAAAATATAAACCAAACTATAATCTTACTACTTAAAGAAATTACTAAATGTCATGTTTTATTAAATAATTGTACTGTTCAGTTATATTTGTTGTCAATGTTATCTCTCAGAATGCTGTTTCAAAGTCTTATCTACACTGTTAGGGACAGTATGTAATTCTGGGGAGTACAAAACCCTGTTTGGCACTGAAGCTGTAGGTGAGAAGTGTTGTGTAGACTGATTTCTGCTGGACTGTTTTTAGAGGAAACTGACTCACATATTTGAGATTTTGTATTTAGCAATGATTCATATCACATGTAGCAATCTGTTCCGCTTTCTGCCTGCTGTGACACAATGGGCAGATAAGATAAGCTGCATGTTTCCCTTTAATCTAAACCAATGAGACTACATAGCAAACTGATGTGAAGAGGACTTCCTTGAAAAGTGCATTGTGTGGTCCCATAAAGTACACACTACAAATTCATATGATAATATATGGAAATGATCTTGGGTACATTTATATTAGGCGTTTGGTTATACTGATGTAGCTGATTGTGTCTGTTCATGTTTTACTGACATAGATCAAAGAGTGCAGAAATTACACTTCACTATGAATAATGACGCCCTTTTATTTTTGTGTGTAGCGTGTTTGGTGTGTGAGACTGTGGCAGGATACACTAAGAGTAAGTGACAGCTGAAATGGGCAGGTTAGAGCTTGAAAATGTGGGTTTGGGGGTAAGGACAAGATATGAGCTGACAAGTTTATTCACCACATTTCAACTGTAGTCAATACTAACTCCCTGCCAAACCAAAGTGAGATAATATCATACCTTTCCAGTTTTCTTTTTCATATTCCAAGATTGTATTGAGAGCTGACAGTCTGCCTCTAGTATAGTCTACAATAAGTGATGTTTTTTCCACAAAAAAAGTCTAATTTCCACATTAAAATCCTTAAAAAATCATCTCCTTCTACCTCATTATAAATTCCAGAATCTCTGAATATGCAACTGTTGTTCCTTTCTAAAGTTTT